AATAGAATTGTCCCTCAGGACTGGAAAGAATTAGTTACAGCTGTCCTAGAGGCCAGGGCACAATTGCAGTGAAGAACATGTTTCAAAGAGGAGACTAAAACAATAGAGCAACAATGTAGGACTAGAAGTGTGGAAATGTCCCAGTATCAGGTTCTTGGAGAAGGCAAATACACTGATATATAAAGACAATGCTTATATGATAACCAGAGCTTAACTCTATGCCACATGGCAGCCATGAATGCATGGGATAGAATTGAGGAAGCAGAAAAGAAAATTGAATCATTTACAAAAGTTATACCAGGCCCCAGAGAATCCTTCACAGATTTCTTACAAAGACTCTCTTTAGCAGTAAATAGAATGATACCAAACTCAGAAGCTAGACAGATAATAATTGAATCTTTGGCTTTTGAGAATGTGAATGCAGTATTCAAAAGAATAATCGGGCTGTTAGAGGCAAGATCATCACCCTTGGAGGATTGGATTAGGGACACATTTAACAGTGAGTTTCATGACCATGGTGAGATATGGATAGGAGAGGTGATTTCAAAAGCTTTGCAGAAAAATAATGTCAGATGTTTTGGTTGTGGTAAACAAAGTCATTTGAAAAGGGAGTATAAATAGGGTGTTCCTAGAAAGAATGTTTATTGAAGAAAAAAGAGCAACAGAATGCTCCTCCCTTCTGGAATATGCAGAAGGTGTGGTAAGGGTAAACAATGAACCAAGGAATGGAGATCAATAAGGAACATACAAGGTAATCCTTTGCCTGTGCCCTCAGGAAACTCCCAAAGGGGCCTCATGTGGGCCCCCAAAGCAAATTTAGTTCAGACCTTTCCTGCCATCATAGAAGAAACCCCTTCTCAGAGCAATTAAATAACCACATGCCTATTGAAATAAACCAGGCTGCTTGGGGTGATAGAACAGCTGTAGCAGAGAGAATAGGAAATTCAGGAGAAACCATAAAGTGAATTTTTTGGCAAACTTGTATAAATAAGCAAAGATCAAAATTAAAAATATGAATAAATGACATTTTCTTGGATGGTTTAGTAGACACAGGTGCAGATGTTACAATAATTGCACCAGAATTTTGGCATCCAAACTGGCCTCTTCAGGAGGTAAATGTTCAGCTAGTATGGATTGAAATATTATCTCAAGTGAAACAGAGCACAAGATGGCTTGAATGTATAGTACCAGAAGGACAGAGAGAAAAATTAAAGCAATATGTAGCTAATATAACCATGAATTTATGGGGCCACAATCTATTACAACAATGGAATACTCATATTAACATTCCTCCAACCTCAGAAACAAATCATAAACTAACACATGTTTCTGAGAGAAATATTAGGAGGTATTATTATTATAAAGAGCAGTCACCAACCATCCAGATTGTATAAGAACAAGGTACAACAACTGCTGAACTTTCAAAAACACCAACAGCTCTACCTTTAAAATGATTAACAGACAAGCCTATATGGGTTCAGCAATGGCCTTTAACAACAGAGAAACTGCAGGTTTTAGAAGGTTTTAGAAACTGCTGGTACAAGAGCAGTTAAATGCTCAGCATATTGAAGAATCAACCAGCCCTTGAAATTCTCCTGTATTTGTTATTTAAAAGAAATCTTGTAAGTGGAGAATGGTAACAGACTTAAGAACAATTAACAAAGTAATTCAGCCAATGGGCTCTCTACAATCTGGAATTCCTTTGTCCACTCTGTTACCTAAAGAACAGTCTCTTACAGTTATTGATTTAAAAGACTGTTTCTTTTCAATACCCTTACAAGAAAAGGACAGAGAAAGATTTGCCTTCACAGTGCCTACTTATAATTATTCTCAGCCGGTTAAAAGATTTCAATGGAGGGTCCTCCCACAGGAAATGTTAAATAGCCCAACCATGTGCCAATATTTTGTACAACAGCCATTGGAAGTAATACATAAACAATCTCCTAAATCTATAATTTATCATTACATGAACGATATTTTACTAGCTGACTCAAATGCAGATACTTTACAAAGAATGTTTAGAGAAGTAAAGAAAGTTTTGCCCTGTTGGGGATTACAAATTGCTCCTGAAAAGTTACAAAGAGGAGATTCTATTAATTATTTAGGTAAAATAGGTCTACAGAAACTTAGGCCCCAAAAGGGGCAAATTAGAAGAAACTGATTATGGACTCTTAATGACTTTCAGAAATTATTCAGAGACATTTCCCATCTACAAAGTGTTGCTGGGGTAAAAAATGATGAACTGAGTAATTTGTTCAAAATCTTAGAAGGTGACAAGGACTTAAATAGTCTAAGAGAATTATCAGCTGAAGCTGAGAGATGATTGGCCTTGGTGGAAAAGAAAGTACAGAAAGGACATGTGGATCGTGTAGATCCAAAGCTTGACCGCATTTTGGTTATTTTAAACTTTAAGCATTCTCCTACAGTAATTTTAATGCAGAAGGAAAATATTATATTGGAATGGATATACAAAATAAACAGAGTAAAAAATTAAAAACTTATATGGAAAAGATCTCTGACTTGATTTTAAAAGGAAAATTGTGACTTTGTCAATTAGCAGGAATAGACCCAGCAGAAATTGTCATACCTTTAACTAAGGATGAAATTGAAAAATTATGGGAAGAAAGTGAACCTTGGCAAAGAGCTTACAGTAATTTTTTGGGAGAGATTAATAGCAAACATCCCAAAAGTGATAGAATTTAACTTATAAAGAGATCTGATTGGATTCTGCCTCAAATTGTTCAGGAAACACCCATATCTGAAGCCCATACATTTTATACAGATACAAACAAACAGGGAAAGGCAGGTTATAAATCAAAAAATTTAAGTAAAGTGGTTCAAAGTCCTTTTAATTTGGTTCAAAAATCAGAATTGTATGCTATTCTATTGGTATTAATGGATTTTTCTGAACCTCTCAACATAGTTACTGACTCTCAGTATGCTAAAAGAGTGGTATTAATATTGAGACTGCAGGATTTATCCCTGATGCTTCAGAATTAACTTCACTATTTATTCAATTACAAGATACAATCAGGAAAAGGAATCATCCTTTATATATAACTCACATCCCATCCCGTACGGGTCTGCCAGGCCCTCTAGCACAAGGTAATGATGAGATTGATAAAGTATCAATAGGAAATGTGCTGGAGGCCTCAGAATTTAAAAAAAAAAAATCATGCTGATAGTAAAGGTTTTAAAAAGGATTTTTCCATAACCTGGCAACAAGCCAAGGAAATTGTAAGGAAATGTCCTACTTGTTCCTTTTACAATCAGATGCCATTACCAGCAGGATGTAACCCAAAGGGTACTCAGAGGAATGAAATCTGGCAGATGGATGCGTTTCAATTTGCAGAATTTGGAAAATTGAAATTTGTACACCATACCATTGATTCATATTCAGGATTTCAATGGGCGACTGCTTTGGGTTCTGAAAAAGCTGATTCTGTAATCATTCATTTGCTAGAAGTTATGGCCATCATGGGTATACCTGCACAAATTAAAACTGACAATGCTCCAGCATGTATCTCTATTAAAATGAAAGAGTTGTTTGCTTATTACAATATAAAGCATATTACAGGTATACCTCATAATCCTACAAGTCAAGTAGTCATAGAAAAATAAAATCAAACTCTAAAGGACATGCCAAATAAACAGAAAGAGGTAACAAAACCCCCCAGAAATAGATTACATAATGCTCTATTATCTTTGAATTTCTCAGTGCTAATGAGAAAGGAATAACAGCTATGGAAAGACATTGGATAATAGAAAAAAACTACAAAATTAAATCAGCCTATATATTTTAAAGATGTGCTGACCTCAGAATGGAAACCAGGATATGTGTTACGTTGGGGACAAGGTTTTGCTTTTATTTCTACAGGAGAAGATAAGCTGTGGATACTATCAAAATTGATAAAGGTTCAGTTTTAACAAGAGAGACCTCTTAATTAGAAGTTGTGATAGTTCATCAACCAGCATGACCATCCAATCTAAACTAGTTTATACCTCTAACAAATGCTTTTCATTTAATCAGATATAACTTACCAGAAGGGAACCTCCCTAAAGTTAGACTTGGGGAAGGGTTTTTGTTATTGTCTCTCAGGAGAAGAAAGGTTAAGAAATCTGAAGAACACTGGACAAATGAGACATCTGAATAAAAAAGGACAAATCATACAGAAAAAAATATCCCAAGAAAAAGAGTAAATTTACCTATTGGTATATCACCTATAAAATTTCATAAGTCTTCCTAAATGTTTGCTTTTGCTCTTCTCTACAGACACTTAACACAAATGGTCTTTATGTAGTCCCAGTTAAATTAAAAATTAAAGCTGGCATTGGAATTGAAGAATGGCTCTCTCTTTCTTTAAATCCAAGTATGTTGTTAAAAGAAAAATACAAAATCTCTGTGTCATGTCAGAATAAAGAGCCATGTGATATGGGACAAAAGAAAACTAAAAAATTAAGGGACTATTCTATTGCCACTAATCTCAATTCTTTGGTTCTGTTTTGATTCTTTAAACTTTTCTTAGGGAATGAATTTTATATCAAAATTTATAAGATTAAAATATTTATATTTTAAACTTTCATTATGATATTAATGGTCATATAGAGATTTATTCTAGGAGGGAAAAAGGCTTCATTTAGCTGCCTATACATGTTTTTGTGTGTGTGTGTTTGAATCTCTATCGTTTTCTTCATGGAACCATGACCAGGCCTAACAGTGAATTTGAAGTTTCCAGAAAGATAATGGAGCCTCACAATGATGATTCCAGGTGGACAATAATAATCCCACTAAACTGACAAACATCACAAAAGATCAGCTTTGGAATACAAACTGCTCAGGACAATTTGGAGATGGCTAGCTGAGAGGATTTAGCCTTACCGACTATTTGAGGGATGACTTGAGATAAGCCCCGCACTTTTGCATTATGCAGAGACTGGACAACAAATGATACAGCTACCACTCTGGAACTTGACAATTAACCCAAAATTTGTCTTTTCAGGATCCCCTAAAGATGCCTTTACCCACAGCAGGAAGTAATTTTTTTTTCCTGGGGAAAGATAACATTTTATTGGATCTAGGTAAGGAAAAATTTTGCTGTGATGAGAAATATTATGCATCGTATGTTACATAGTTTATAAAGATGAATTAATACATCTCAAGTTGTATTTCAGGTTAATTTAAGAACAAGACACCCATATTCCCAAGAGGTGGGGTGGGTGGTTTTTGGTCTTTCAGTGGGTTTCAGGTTTGGGATAGTTGTCATTGTTTAGGAGGGTTGATTACAAGTTGTTGTTAATGGTCAAGAAAAGGGCTAAACAAAAGAGATTAGATTTAAGGTTTTTTTTTTTTTTTTAAAGAGGATATAGATAAGAGATAGATTATTGAATCTACTCTGAAAAGAAAAAAGAGGATATAGATATGATATAGATAAAAAGGTAGATCACTGAATCTACTTTTAAAAGACAACTACTAGTTTTAAATACTTTACATTGAATTGGATTTTTATATATTGTACACAAATTAAATATATTGTGATTGCTATTGTTAGAAAATGCTGTACATATATTTATAATCTTGTTCAGGATATTGTACCTATATAGTTCATTTAACAATGTAATGTAATTTGCTAATCCTTGAATATTACCAAATATTAGGATATAAAGAAATGAAAGTTAGTAGTTAGACATTACAATCAAACTTATAGTCATATTAGGTATATTTTCAAGGCCAAGCAGAGATATATTTCAGATAGACAGGTCATCTTCAAACCCTTCAGAGATCTACAGAATATGACATTTAAAATGTTTAAATAACATAGTTTTTTTTTTCTTTTTTTATGACTATGAGACATGCCAGCTCCTGGCAGCACCAATCTACTTCAGAGAAGATATGGGCATTGAAGAAATTGCATATGGAGTTAACTTTCATTGTGGCAAAAGTTAGCCACTGAGCAATAAAGTGCCCTCAAATCAACTACTGACAGTATGCTGTCCAAAATGGACAGACAAGACACAAAACAAAGGACTGCCGATCCTTGCCAAGTGTGGTTGCAGCTTTGGCAACAGACATCCTCTGAAAGCACGACAATATGGCACCATCACTGAAGTGGCTTTGCACTCTTGAAAAGGTACAGTGCCCCTTTCTTCAAAGGCAGCTGAACAGGCAGTGGACTGATGGCTTCTGGTGTGCAGGGAACAGTAGCTGAAACAGTTCTTGAAGAGTAACTAGGCTAACCTCTCAATGGTAGACTGTCATTTAATAAAGGAGTTGAAGCTACCCATGAGCCGAGAAGAATGGGCAACTGAATTCCAAAAACACCAGCAATTTCCAGAATTTAAAATCCTGAATCATGACAGGACACTGGTGGAATTCCGATTTATCTGGTACACGGACTACTCGCACTGAATATGAGGTCGAACTGTAAGTCTTGTGTACATCCTACTTCACAAATCTGTCTGTCAGATATGCTAAGCCTATAGGCTGAATATGATGCCCCAATGTGCAGAGAAACCTCGGGTGACTGTCCAGGCAGCTGGCTCTGTCAACTCACATGTTTTTTGGAAGTCGCTTGTTTGCACTTCCTGTTTTACTAGGTAATATTATTTCCTTCTTGGGTCTCTGAGGGAGTTGAAAAATAGTTATAGTTACAGTTTTCCTTGTTAAAAAATTCAGAAAAGAAACTCACTAAGAGGTGTTAAGTATATAAGTTTGAAAGACATAAGATAGTTTACTGTTGGTAATATATTAGGATAGAAAGTGAATTAGGTACATTTTGGACTCACCAAAATAGAATAGATAATGGAATATTTTCTCTGAATTTGTCAAATGCAAATGGACTAGACATTGTTGATGTATTTATTCCTTGTATATATTGTATATAGTTATTATACTTATTATATATAGTTTTTCTTATGTTAGTTATAACTTTTTTAACTTTTTAATTTTATTATCAAAAAAATGGGAAATGTGGGGATATTTTGTTTGTGCTTTAATAAAGCTTGCCTGGAGATGAGGGGGAAAGGTCAGCCATTTTAAGTAAACAAGAAGTCAGGCAGCACACGCCCTTAATGCTATCACTTATCAGGCAGGGTCTCTGCATGTTCAAGGCTATACTAGGGAATGCAGCCAAGTGTGGTGACACACGCCTTTAATCCTAGTACCAACCATAGAGACCTGGAGGTCTGCACAGACAGACAGTGACAAGGAAGTAAGGTAGCTGGGCTAAGAGCCAATGATAGGGCAGAACAACAAGATAATAAAGGCCTGGGTAGACAGGAAGTAGCTCACATTTGAGAGCTGCAGAGTCGATGAGGTAAGGTTGGCTGGTGGCTTTCCCTATTTCCCTGATCTCTCTAAGGCTTTCACCCCTCTATTTGGCTCCATGTTTTTATTTAATAAGACCATTGAGAAATTTGTCTACCAACTCCTGTCACTGATACTCTGTGTGATACTTTTTCTCCATCTTCTTGCCTCAGTATGCATCAATGCCAGTGCAGCTGATCAAAGCAGGAATGAACAATGCCTCAAAGGAGGTCTGCTGTTATCTTTCTCCTGCTGGACATTGACATTGTGGGTTCACAGTTTGCTTCCAAGATGTGGATTTAGAGAACATTGACTAGGTTGGTAACAGGACCAAAAATGAAGGGCACTTAAAAGGCTACTACAATATCACCAGGGAGCACTAGGGTAGAGTCTGTGGACTCAGTAGCTGGTGGCACTCCCTGAAGAGATTCAACACTGATTCCTTTTCCAGTATCATTCCCTTTGAGGCCTTGGCACCATGGTACTTCTTGCTCATAATTTCCAAGGAACTTCTTCCTGTCCTGTCAAGAACCCTGTTTCTGCCTGGGCTTCTATAACCAGAGTTCCTTCAGCCAAATTCCTTTCATTGAAAAGAGAGAGCTCCTTTGACAAATGAGTTGAAATTACATGGAGATGTTCAGGTCAGCCAGATAAATGAAAAGAATAGTCAATATAAATGGAGCAAAGGCTGTCTTTTAGGAGACAGGTCAATGGATGTGAGCTGCTGCTACTGCAAGAGATACAAGTGGCAGCTTCAAGAGAAAATAAGTTTGGGGGTAAGGGTGGAAGGTAACCAAAACTGATCTGAGAGAACATTAGAGAGAGACTGGGAGGTGACAATTAGACTTCTAGTTCTGGTAGCAATCAGTACACAGCTCCGTAGGACATACACAGCCCCAGATCTTTTGCATGTTTATAACCCCCAATGCTCAAAACTTCAATGAGGAGGTTTGAAATTTTGTTCCATTGCCACATAAGGAAATGTTTTCTCCTAGTCCGTCTTTGAAGAACACTCTCTATAGCACTTTCTGTTGAATTGGAGAAGACCATAGATTGAATAGTAAAGAAAATTTATGAAGAAGAGAAGCTGACAATTAGGGAGGCAGGGGAGGATAAGAACACAGTGATGTCACAGGGCAAGGGCACTCGAGCTGCGTCGTGACATGATGGAAAGGGGGAGGGAAGTGGGCATGTGTTGAAGAGGAGGCGAGAGAGGTAGACTTAATCTTGTAAAACAAAGAAACCAAACACCTTGCTTTTTGTGATTAAGCAATCCACTCCTCTGACAGTAGCACTGATTCACTCACTAGGGCTTCTTGCTCACAACAGAACCACCAGTCACCAGGTCCCACTTCCCAAACCCCTGCACAGGGATCAAGCTCCTAAGACAAGGACTTGGAGGACATGACTAAAACCCAGCCACACTGTCACTCCTTCCCTGCAGAACTCTTTCCAAATTTCTTTTAGTTCCGTAGTTTATGCTCAACTTAGGGATTATGGGTAGGCTGATAAAGCTTGTCATTTTTAAAAAGAAAGTGGTAAGGAGTGATCAGCCAATAGTCACTTCCAACTGCCATCTGTGACAAGTCTGTAAAGCATTCCGTTTGCATAATACATGGGAAGTCTATTAAAATACAGCACACTGCTACAAGAAGGTGGAAAAAGTCTAAGTCAGATTATGTTTCCTTGTAAAATAGTCCCTCTATTACTGGCAACAAAGCTGAGTGTTTCTGTATTGCTTTAAATTGAAAATCCACTGTTCAAGGAATCCTTGAATAGATGCTATACCTAGTTTTGTCCAGTTCTGCAGTCATGTTGCACCTCCATTAGGAGCAGAGTGCTGAGCAGTGGGTACTGAGCAAAGCGGATGCCAGTTTAACTGACAATCTCTGTTCTAGGGTAATCAAGGACAGATCCTCAATCAGTTATAAAGGCAGGCAGTGTGTTCACACACAATACAGACCTATATATATGACCCAAAAAGGCCACCTCTCGTGTTGCCAGAATGGGAAAATATATATCAAATACTTTACCTGTGAAAACAGAGTTCTCTGTGTCAGAAGTAGGCCAGCAAGCCAGTATCTTGACAGCATGCTAGAGGATCTAACAGAGGGGGACTAAAGGTATGTGCTTTTCACTCATTCCCAACCTTGGGCTCTGAAGCATAATGTCATCTGTGCTCTAAAAATTGACACTTTTCTGTTTGTCGAGGCTCAGTTTTTAAACACATGCAACTCTTCTCACAGCTTCAAGCTGGATTTCTGGCTACAGGTATGGCTTTTGAAAGGGTTTGAAGCTGGAAGAATAGTTACTACTAATGATGGATAATTTGGCTCCCAATCTGCTCGCCAAATTTTGGTGATTCTTGCAGGGAAATACAAGGGACAGAGGAATGGAAGAGGGTTTCTTATCTCCAGTATCTTCAGCATTTTAATTAATCTGGTCAAATAAAGACATTGGATTTTTCAGCAGATGTCATCAACTTGATGCCTGAAGCCTTTTTTTTTTTTTTTTTTTTTTTTTTTTTTTTTTTTTTTTTTTAACTACCAGCCCTGGAAATAACCTCAGAAGGTATTTTTGAATAGTTTGGTTCAACTCTGTGTGGAGTGTTCAATCAGGACTGGAGACACTTATAAATGGCTTTCCTTTCCAAGCAGCCTGAGTGACAGTCACTCCTATATCATACTTCTTTCAAGACAGATGGTGAGAACACAGTTTGCTGTTCAGTTTCCATTCACTGCTGTCTTTTCTAAGCAGCATGGAGAAGCGAGCTGCAAAAGAGAAAGGCCTTCAAAGACACTCAGCCTAATTTTAACAATGCTGTGGAGACATTGAGAAGCATGCCTTAGGTTTGCCATCCAAGGTTCACAATCGATGAAATTTAGGTAATGTCCTAAATCTAAATACAGGAGACACTGCAGTTTCCTGTGCTGCACAAATTATACCTATTAGTGATTAGCTGGAGTTACCAATAATGCATTGGTATTGCATTAAGAAAAGAACTAAAGCCCTTCCCCTTGAAGTCATTTAACTAAGAGTGAGTCTAGATTTGAGTTTTCTACTTCATTTCCCTGGGTCTTTCTTCCTCTGTCTGTTGCATGAGTCTAAATCTCTACCTGCCTGAAGGTTTGCTTGTGACTCTATTTGTGCCTGAGTCTGTGTCTTCTGTCTGCATGTGTCTGTCTGTTTCTGTCTGTGTGATTGTATGCATCTCTATGACTATCTATTGTGTCTGTGTGAGTCTGTCTGTGATGGTACGACTATCAGTGTTTGTTGATTGTATGTGTCTATGTGTATATATCTGTGCCTCTGTATGTTAATGGTATCTGTCCCTAACAAGAGGCTTTGCTCTGTCTTTATTGAACAGCACAGAATGCATCACATGGGGGAAGGAATGGTATACTTTACAGAAATCTTTAACAGAATTTTACAAGGGATTAAGTCACTGGCTCCAACTGATCCCAGCTGACCCAGATAATAAGCATCATCATTTATCAACCAATATCTGTACATGAATGCTTTCAACTGTCATGGTAAATTTTATGAAGTTGCTTTCAACTTCTCTATTTGCTGCTTTTAGCAAATGATGCACAT